ACGGAAACATTAGAAATGCAACGAATTGCAAGGTGAGAAAAAGGGTGCCCAGAATCCGCGATATTCATGTTAAAACAAAATGGCGTCACGATTTATTGAAAGTGGTATAGTTGGTGGTATGAGTGTTCAAAACCATTTGAACTTCATACTGTTCGTCTTCTTTTTGACATGCTCTCTTTCCATCGTCCTTAGCTTTTGTTTGTTGTGAGCTGTTTTGGCTTTCTCCTGTACCTCTGGGGGATGCCAAGTGATGGTTTTGAGAGGCTGGTGATGGCTGTGAGCGAGAGTTTGCCGATCGGCGTCGTCCTCGCTGTAGCGATGAAAATACTAGTTACTGCGCACCTGGCAGATATCACAACACGTCGAAGCGTCCAGGAGCAAAGGAATCTTGGGTTTTCACTGGAATCTAGTTCCTCCAGCATCGTGTAGCCCACCGTCGGTGAATGGCGGTCCAGAAAGGTCGAACCTGGTCTTCTGCAGCATCTCGCAGTCCTGCGAGGCACACCGTGTACGCCTGCCATGTATTGTGCAAATAAAACTCATGCAGTAGTGGACTCTACAGTGATGAGTCTCAGCCTGTATGCTGCAAAAGACACAGGAAATGTGACTGGTGCCTGTACACGCAGTGACTGGAGGCCAACACCCCAGTCTTCTCCTGCAGGATCTGTTTGACATTGACATTATGCAGTAGGTCGGCATTGACCTGGTTTGGCAGCTATCGTAATAGTATCTGCCTGGTTGGATGTAGCAGGTTGGTGTTTGCTCGTCGTCCAGTCCGGAATTTTCTTGTAACTCACGGTGGAGTACGCGCAGGGTTTGTGATCATCCCTGTTCACTTCAATATTATGAAACACAACGTTCCCTTTGTCACTCATCTTATCCTGAGTACTGAATTTGCTGACAATATTGCACCACACTTGTCACAACCTACCGCCACTGCTGGCGGTGGCGACTGGTTCGTCAATGGCGGTGACCAGGCTGACTGACTAGCTTCGAGACAGCGGCCTCGTTGTCAACCCCGCGGCAGCCTAAAGGTTGATTTTATCGATCCAGCCTCAGCGCCATGTTGACGATGCCCTAGTGACTGTGTGTCATGGATTGCCTTGCCATCAGCAGTCATTGCCGTCCACCTTGGTGCAGCCCTCAACAACTGGCTCAGCCCATGGGAGTCTCAAGTGGACAAAGTTGTTGCCAAAGTAGCTCAGAGGATTGGTGCATCGTGGTGTAGGTGAGCACATAACTAGAACTTCCAGCTCCTATTTGTCCAGGCTGCGATACTATGTGACATGCTGTACTGCACATTCTTTTCAGCACTGCAAGGCCGGCAGGCGGACCGACTGCAGGGGCCGCGCACATGCAGGCCGCCTGTTGCCAGTGCAGCATTCTGGAACGTTCCTTCCTTCTGAGATCCGTGGAATAATAACTTTCTTTGCTTCAAAGCAAGTTGCTTACCTTTCTGTTGTGCTCCTAGTGTCCTTACAACAATAACCTACAGCAATGTTTTATTTTCCTTTCCATTCCCCAACCAATGAATACTACAATGTCGATTCTATTTCTGAATACTTTAGTGTGTGCCTGCGCACGCACGTGTGTTTGTGTGTGTTTGTATACCTCACTCGCCACTCGAAGTTCTGTTCCCCATCACTGGAACACTGCCTGTTCTTTCAGGACCTGCGGATGGGCATTCAATGATTGTATTGTGTGTGTGTGTGTGTGTGTGTGTGTGTGTGTGTGTTTCATTCAGAATCAGATCCGCTATCGTTGCTATAAGAGAAAATCTGTGGGTTCACATCCAGTGCATTTGTAGATTTGCGTGCTTTTCTCGCCACGGGCGCATACATGGGACATTGTGTGTGTGTGTGTGTGTGTGTGTGTGTGTGTGCGTGCGTCTGTGTGTATGGGGATATTGTCTGTATCGGCTTTTGGTACTGATGTTCAGGTCTGTGCTTGAATGTGTGAACATGAAATTGTTCGGTTCTGTGCATGCTATTGCTATGTTGTACTTCAAGTATATTATTGTATGTATGTGTGCATTTCCATGAACAGTGTAGATGAGCGTGGAGAGTGCATTCGTCCCTCATCAACCACTTCCCTTTGGGCTTACGAGAGTTTTTTCTGCGTACCTCTCATTTTTGTTTGTTTCTCTCTGATACTGTATTGATGCCGGTACCTGTACCTCGATGTGCTCCTCTATCTGCAGTCGCCTTTAACCTTCGGTCAAGTTAACGTTTATTGTGCTCTATTTATCGTGCGAATCAAAATAAACAATAATAACACAAGTCGTGCTAGAGTGACGACATGTGCGTGTAGTAGGGTTGATGCGATGGGACGTTATAATTAGGTGGAACAGAACACACATTGGGCAAATTGATTGGGCATCATTGATTGTGCTCAGTCTAAACAGTGAACATAATAATTATCTCCAGTGACAGATTGTAGCGGCTAGCCTCCAATAGGTAGCTGGCACTAGTCGCTACCGCTTGTTTGACAGGTGCCGCCAGAACCCCTGTTGTGTCATGCTATAGATGCACATGCCCTATTCTGGGGCATACTGAGGTACTTTGATTTTGTTGACTGCATGTAGACAGCATCCAATAGTAGTACTCGTAGACCTTGGCTCTTTGTAGGTCAACCACCATCGCATGGATCGATCGGTGACTATGCACTTGGAGGTTGGAATAGCTCGCGCTGAACAGATCTTGCCATGGCCCAGGGAGTGAACTCGCTTACTCGACTATCCCGGTTTTAGTTAACCAGCATGAGTGGTGCAATTTGTCCATACCATGTTGCGAGCTCACAGTTGTTTGGGCAGGTTTTGAGCTGCACCACGAAACAAAGCGAAACTTAACGGCGTGACTGTAGAGCAAGGAAGCGGCGAGACGGCACTTCCAGGACGAGACAGGCAGTAGAGATAAGTTCACAGCACGAGCAACCTCTCAAACCCTGCCGGTACTCCACAGTTACAAGAAAATGTCGGACTGGACGACGCGCCAATGCAAACCTGCTACATCCACCCAGGCAGATAGCTGCCAAACCAGGCCAATGTCGACCCACTGCATACCGGTATGTCAATGTCAAACAGATCCTGCAGGAGAAGACTGGGATGATATTGGCGTCCAGGGTACGGACACCAGTCACATTTCCTGCGTCTTTTGCAGCATACAGGATAGACTCATCACTATAAAGTCCACTACTTCGTGATTTTTATTTGTAGAATACATGACAGGCGTATTCAGTGTGCCTCGCAGGACTGCGAGATGCTGCAGAAGACCAGGCTCGACCTTTCTGGACCGCCATTCACCGACGGTGGGCTACACGATGCTGGAGGAACTAGATTCCAGTGAAAACCCAAGATTCCTTTGCTCCTGGACGCTCCGACGTGTTGTGATATCTGCCAGGTGCGCAGTAACTAGTATTTTCATCGCTATAGCGAGGACGACGCCGATCGGCAAACTCTCGCTCACAGCCATCACCAGCCTCTCAAAACCATCACTTGGCATCCCCCAGAGGTATAGGAGAAAGCCAAAACAGCTCTCAACAAACAAAAGCTAAGGACGATGGAAAGAGAGCATGTCAAAAAGAAGACGAACAGTATGAAGTTCAAAATGGGTTTGAACACTCGTGCCACCAACTATACCACTTTCAATAAATCGTGACGCCATTTTGTTTTAACACGCATACGGTCCATTGAACCTTAGAAATGCAACGAAGTGCAAAGTGAAAAAGGGGTGTCACAAAGGGATGCGAGTGATTGAACGTACAAATCATGCACTGAACAAGGATACATGTATACTAGCTGTGAATTCTTGGTTATATACATGCATTGTGCTCGTGACTACGAATAAATCCGATCGCATTCGCGACATCCTTTGTCATCAGCCGACGCAGCACTTGTTGTCGGGTAGTACTTCGCACTTTCCAGAAGCGCAAATATTTTCTATCGACACTTTTTTCCCAAGCGCTTCACCTCCTTCACGAGTACGATCGGTTGTGTTTCTTTCCAGCCGAAGCTGGCGAGCTCAGTCAGCGTCGCTTTGCTGGACCGTTCACGTTGACATCAGGCGAATGAGCTGGGCGAGTGACAACCCTGTCATCGAAGCCTTTCTTTTCCAACTGTTTTGCCCAGTGCCGATTCTGGTTCATTTTGCAGTATGTGGGCGAGCGTCGCTGAGTGGCTTTCTCAGCTTCAAGCTCGCGTGCATTTTTACCGTACACACACCTTGAGCAGGATGCAATCAAACACACTAAACTTTTCGCAACATGACACCTCTGCTCTGTACTCCAGTGCCAGCAGTGGTACTCTAGCAGCACCCACCTTGACTAGTGACTGACTTCGTGTCTTTTTTACCAGTTCACTCGCATTCAACGCGCTCTACTCTAGATGTTTCTTTACTCTTTGCCGACTTGTTTGGAACTGGTACGCCTGAACGAGCAGATTTGTGTGATGGTGAAGTGCACAAGATGCAAAAATTGCTGTCAGACACCTGTCATTGGGCTGAAGGAGATACTAGTAAGCGAAAATGTTGCCTGGGCGGAGGAAGTATTGCATTAGGTAGGTAACAGCATGCTAGGATTCACTTGACAGGTATTTACTTGCCTTGGGAAGATCAATGAAATGAAATGAAACGTCTGAAGCGTTTGTTCCCGATTAGTACCAGAACCCTTGGCACTGGACCTGCTCACCGCTGCAAAAATTCAGCCACCGGTGGTTTGGACTTGGTGGAAAAGTAGATTCACACGCTTCCAGGCCGCCACCAACTTTCAACGGAGTCGGCAGAAGTCCAAATCTCCATCGACATGGCACTCATCAGCAAGACGTCACTCTGCCAGCTAGGCTCCCAGATTCCTCATCCTTTTCCCCTCACTGGAACATATGTTGGTGGCCAGACGCTGGCTGTATGTTTGCATACGTGTGTGTGTGTGCGTGTGTGTGTGCGTGTCCGTGTGTGTGTGTGTGTGTGTGTGTTTGTTTGTTCGTTCTTTGCTGCATGGCAATACAGGCGCTTCTAGCCGGTCAGCTGCCGTGGAGTTACTTAGACCAGTGGACACGTCCCAGCATGTCAGCTTTGCAGCACAGCCGTCAGTACATACTGTGTCCGCAGATAACGGTGGGCCGGTGATAATGCAGAAAGTCGATGATGGTGTGTCAGACAGCCTTGTTTCCTGTGATGACATGAGCCAGGACGAGTTGGAGTCTGAGTTCGACAACCTGGTGCGCCTCTTGGAAGTTTCCAGGTATAGTGTGTGCTGTGGTGTACTGTGTGTACTTGAGTTGGAACCATTGCTGAGATGATGTGAAACCTGACTGTTACTGCAAGGGTGTTCAGTTCCTGATCACTCTGTTGATCCCGCATACTGTGCTGTGCTGTGCTCGCGCTGTGCTGCCATGTGCCATGCTATGCTGCGGTTATCGACCTACAGAAAAGACACCGGTGCTCTCCAAGCAAAGGTCAGAGAGCAAAACAATCAAATATACACCCTGCAGCGCGACTTGGCCGGTGCTTCGGCTCAGTTAGCTGACCTTCAGGCAAGTCGCACCCAGGAGAGTATGGAGATTGAGAGATGCCTGAAGCAGGAGTTGAATGCCAAGCATGAGCTGATCCAGCGTCAGCTTGGTGAGATAAGGACGATGAAAGAAGAGAGCCAGCGCCATAGTACTGACATGGAAGCCCAGGTGGCTGAAACACAGTATGCACATCAGTTACTTGAGGCAAGTCACGGCGTGGAGAGTGACCAACGTCAAGAGCTCAAACAAGCACGCATGCAATGGAAAAGCGGTGTACGTGCACACCGACAAGAGTTATCTCATCTGAACGAGAAGGTTATTTCATTGAAAGTGCCGCCGGTGCTTGGCACATGCCATTTAACCTTGACTGCACTATGATGTGAAGCAGCAATGTTTGCTGTCCAAACTGCTGCTCAGATCTGCTGCCAGGATGTGTTTGACGGAAGAGTGGCTTACAGTAGTTAGTGCCAGAACCAGTTGATGCTGGTAGTGAAATGCATAATGGTTCAATGGTTCTGGTCAGTTACTTTATTCAAGACTCTATTTGGGGGGGGGGGGGGGTATGTTGGGTAATTTACCATTACATGCGTGTTCTGCCCTTCGTGTGTATCATTTCCTTGTGTTGGATTGCCTATGCATGTACCTGTTTATACAGGTACATGCATAGGCAATCCAACACAAGGAAATGATACAGGAGCAGGATATAAATACATGTGCTAGACTAGTAATGGGTCAGGAAATGAATGCCACTCGGCTTTGTGCTTGCCAATCTCTTCCTTGGCAGCATCAGAAAACCTTTAGCTTGGCTGAAGTGGGAGCGCGCTGCCAGGCACAGAACCATGATCGAGTCATTCGGGATCAGAGTGCAGCATTGGCAACGCTAAGGCGCGGAGAAACACGGAGTCCTGCAGCGACTACGCCCGGTGAGTCCGTCCAAACAGCTCTCAGATATACTTACAGGGGAGTTGCATAGTGGCGTAGTGTAAAACGTGTGAAAACTCCACCGGCACTACTAACTAACTTATAGAGCCTGTGAATAGTGTAGCGGGAGGAGGTTCTATGGTGACATACATCACGTGTTTTTCCGGTTGTAAGTCGACCTTTTACGACTTAAAATAGACGGAGAAAGGGTGGGGGTCGACTTACAACCCGGGATTCGACTTATAACCGGGAACTATCAGTATCTTACAAAAATGACCTGCACTGCATGCACGAGTGCACCATGTGTACACATTGTTGCCAGTTTATTGGCATTTTTTTTCAAGGATTGGGACGTTATGCCCTCCAATAAGGAATGTTTACATGATTTGTTGATGTGTTAGTAGCAGGAGGTGGTTAGTAGTGCTTCTTTGGGTGAAAACTTTAAAATGCAGAATTGATACGGGGGTCGACCTATAACCGGGGTCGACTTACAACCGGTAAAATACGGTATGTACAATGTAATAGCATAGCGTTCATTTTCTTCATGTGGCCGTTCTTTACTATCCTCTGATAATATTTGTTGCCACACTCGGGATCCCCTGTATGAAAGATGTTTAATCTACCAACACTAGTGTAGCAGTGTGCACCCATTGTCCTGCATGACTCATTCAATGTGCTATTTAGTACATCTTCTGTGCACTGCTTTTGAAATATCCAGGTCTATCCTCTTCAGCACGTATGGATGTTGACAGCCAACAGCTCCAGGACACACGGCGTCAGCTTGCATTGCAGAACAAAGCTGCACTGGCCACCACCGCTGAGCTTCTAACCACGGTGAGTTGACAGACAGTGTGTATACAGTCAAATCTGCCGTTAGCGACCTCTGCTGTAGGCGACCATCTACCGTTAGCGACCGATTTTCCGTGCACCAACGGTTTCACATACAAACTGATCTGTCCAGAGCGACCATCTGCTGTGCGCGACCAGCGACCGCGATTTCATGCACGGTGGCTGCATTCAAATCTGCTGTAAGCGACCGCGACCCAGGTTCAGTAAGGTGCGAAACTGTACTTGCCAGTGCGCTGTCAACTGCAAAGTGTGAAAATGCGCTGTCTTGCAAGTGCGATCGACTGGCGCCTGGCCTGTAGGCTGTACTGAGGCTGTGCTGTAGCTCTCAAGTCCAGGCAGTGTCGATCTACTGCTGTGTCGCATACGCGTACTATACGGGTATGGTCGTCGTTGAATATCCAATAAAATGATATTAAAAATCACATTATTCTCGTCGATTTGAGTACATGGAAGCATATACCTGGTATGCCGGATTTACCATACATCTGCCGTAGGAGACCATCTGCCGTAAGCGACCGCTTTTTCTTGCACCAAGGGGCGGTCGCTTACGACAGATTTGACTGTATCTACATGCCGGTTACACATGGATGTGTGCGTGTAGCGTGCATGTGCATGCATGTGAGTGGTGTGTGAGCCGTGGGCATACACACACACACACACACACACACACACACACACACACACACACACACATTTCAGCATGGTCACATAAATATGTGGTGCTTCTTTTTAAATGTAACCGTTACATGTACATGTGGCGACCTTGCTGCTGTGTGTACGTATCATAGTATCATGTGGCAACCTTGCTGCTGTGTGTACGTATCATAGTATCATGTGGCAACCTTGCTGCTGTGTGTACGTATCATAGTATCATGTGGCGACCTTGCTGCTGTGTGTACGTATCATAGTATCATGTGGCAACCTTGCTGCTGTGTGTACGTATCATAGTATCATGTGGCAACCTTGCTGCTGTGTGTACGTATCATAGTATCATGTGGCAACCTTGCTGCTGTGTGTACGTATCATAGTATCATGTGGCAACCTTGCTGCTGTGTGTACGTATAATAGTATCATGTGGCAACCTTGCTGCTGTGTGTACGTATCATAGTATCATGTGGCAACCTTGCTGCTGTGTGTACGTATCATAGTATCATGTATTCATGTTTTCATGGAGCTTCCCAGAGCTCTGGGGTTGGTTGTTGAAAAAAAGCAAGAGAGAAATACTAAAGCTACCAAAGCAGAGTCTCCTTTTGGCCATTACCGTAGTGCACCGACTTTCTACTTGTAAGCAAGTCCTTTCAAGATCGGGCATACTGAAAGATCACACATGGGACTATTTTGTATGTGTTGTTATATCCTGCCTTCCTATTTCTACTGAGTCTGTGGTCTACTGTTGTCATGCCTTGAACCCTGTACTTTGCAGACATCTTCCAACAACAGTGAGTATGAGCTAATTCGCAACCAACTAGAGGCAGAGCGCCACGCTTAGTATGAACTCTTGGCCACGCTAGAGGAAAGCGAGAAAGTGGTAAGTTCTGACAGCGAGGGATATATCAGCTAGGTGATGCTCAGCACATGGATGTGGACATCAGGCTGGTCGTGTCATGTTGAAACTAACGTGATATGTAGATATCTGTGGTATCTGTATACATTCAGAAAGTACCAAATACTTCTAAGGAAGAGGGCCTAATATTAGGAAGAGGATCAAGTATTACAGTCATGTGTTATATAGGGTGTATCTGTTATATAGGGTGTATCTGTTATATAGGGTGTATCTGTTATATAGGGTGTATCTGTTATATAGGGTGTATCTGTTATATAGGGTGTATCTGTTATATAGGGTGTATCTGTTATATAGGGTGTATCTGTTATATAGGGTGTATCTGTTATATAGGGTGTATCTGTTATATAGGGTGTATCTGTTATATAGGGTGTATCTGTTATATAGGGTGTATCTGTTATATAGGGTGAATCTGTTATATAGGGTGTATCTGTTATATAGGGTGTATCTGTTATATAGGGTGTATCTGTTATATAGGGTGCATCTGTTATATAGGGTGCATCTGTTATATAGGATGTATCTGTTATATAGGGTGCATCTTTTATATAGGGTGCATCTGTTATATAGGGTGTATCTGTTATAGGGTGCATCTGTTATATAGGGTGCATCTGTTATATAGGGTGCATCTGTTATATAGGGTGTATCTGTTATATAGGGTGTATCTGTTATATAGGGTGTATCTGTTATATAGGGTGTATCTGTTATATAGGGTGTATCTGTTATATAGGGTGTATCTGTTATATAGGGTGAATCTGTTATATAGGGTGTATCTGTTATATAGGGTGTATCTGTTATATAGGGTGTATCTGTTATATAGGGTGTATCTGTTATATAGGGTGTATCTGTTATATAGGGTGCATCTGTTATATAGGGTGCATCTGTTATATAGGGTGCATCTGTTATATAGGGTGCATCTGTTATATAGGGTGCATCTGTTATATAGGGTGCATCTGTTATATAGGGTGCATCTGTTATATAGGGTGCATCTGTTATATAGGGTGCATCTGTTATATAGGGTGCATCTGTTATATAGGGTGTATCTGTTATATAGGGTGTATCTGTTATATAGGGTGTATCTGTTATATAGGGTGTATCTGTTATATAGGGTGTATCTGTTATATAGGGTGTATCTGTTATATAGGGTGTATCTGTTATATAGGGTGTATCTGTTATATAGGGTGCATCTGTTATATAGGGTGCATCTGTTATATAGGGTGCATCTGTTATATAGGGTGCATCTGTTATATAGGGTGAATCTGTTATATAGGGTGCATCTGTTATATAGGGTGCATCTGTTATATAGGGTGCATCTGTTATATAGGGTGCATCTGTTATATAGGGTGCATCTGTTATATAGGGTGCATCTGTTATATAGGGTGCATCTGTTATATAGGGTGTATCTGTTATATAGGGTGTATCTGTTATATAGGGTGCATCTGTTATATAGGGTGCATCTGTTATATAGGGTGCATCTGTTATATAGGGTACATCTGTTATATAGGGTGCATCTGTTATATAGGGTGTATCTGTTATATAGGGTGTATCTGTTATATAGGGTGTATCTGTTATATAGGGTGTATCTGTTATATAGGGTGTATCTGTTATATAGGGTGTATCTGTTATATAGGGTGTATCTGTTATATAGGGTGTATCTGTTATATAGGGTGTATCTGTTATATAGGGTGTATCTGAAGAGATCACACATGGGAGTATTTTGTTTGTGTTGTTATATCCTGCCTTCCTATTTCTACTGAGTCTGTGGTCTACTGTTGTCATGCCTTGAACCCTGTACTTTGCAGACATCTTCCAACAACAGTGAGTATGAGCTAATTCGCAACCAACTAGAGGCAGAGCGCCACGCTCAGCATGAACTCTTGGCCACGCTAGAGGAGAGCGAGAAAGTGGTAAGTTCTGACAGCGAGGGATATATCAGCTAGGTGATGCTCAGCACATGGATGTGGACATCAGGCTGGTCGTGTCATGTTGAAACTAACGTGATATGTAGATATCTGTGGTATCTGTATACATTCAGAAAGTACCAAATACTTCTAAGGAAGAGGGCCTAATATTAGGAAGAGGATCAAGTACTACAGTCATGTGTTATATAGGGTGTATCTGTTATATAGGGTGTATCTGTTATATAGGGTGTATCTGTTATATAGGGTGTATCTGTTATATAGGGTGAATCTGTTATATAGGGTGCATCTGTTATATAGGGTGCATCTGTTATATAGGGTGCATCTGTTATATAGGGTGCATCTGTTATATAGGGTGCATCTGTTATATAGGGTGCATCTGTTATATAGGGTGCATCTGTTATATAGGGTGTATCTGTTATATAGGGTGCATCTGTTATATAGGGTGCATCTGTTATATAGGGTGCATCTGTTATATAGGGTGCATCTGTTATATAGGGTACATCTGTTATATAGGGTGCATCTGTTATATAGGGTGTATCTGTTATATAGGGTGTATCTGTTATATAGGGTGTATCTGTTATATAGGGTGTATCTGTTATATAGGGTGTATCTGTTATATAGGGTGTATCTGTTATATAGGGTGTATCTGTTATATAGGGTGTATCTGTTATATAGGGTGTATCTGTTATATAGGGTGTATCTGAAGAGATCACACATGGGAGTATTTTGTTTGTGTTGTTATATCCTGCCTTCCTATTTCTACTGAGTCTGTGGTCTACTGTTGTCATGCCTTGAACCCTGTACTTTGCAGACATCTTCCAACAACAGTGAGTATGAGCTAATTCGCAACCAACTAGAGGCAGAGCGCCACGCTCAGCATGAACTCTTGGCCACGCTAGAGGAGAGCGAGAAAGTGGTAAGTTCTGACAGCGAGGGATATATCAGCTAGGTGATGCTCAGCACATGGATGTGGACATCAGGCTGGTCGTGTCATGTTGAAACTAACGTGATATGTAGATATCTGTGGTATCTGTATACATTCAGAAAGTACCAAATACTTCTAAGGAAGAGGGCCTAATATTAGGAAGAGGATCAAGTACTACAGTCATGTGTTATATAGGGTGTATCTGTTATATAGGGTGTATCTGTTATATAGGGTGTATCTGTTATATAGGGTGTATCTGTTATATAGGGTGTATCTGTTATATAGGGTGTATCTGTTATATAGGGTGTATCTGTTATATAGGGTGTATCTGTTATATAGGGTGTATCTGTTATATAGGGTGTATCTGTTATATAGGGTGTATCTGTTATATAGGGTGTATCTGTTATATAGGGTGTATCTGTTATATAGGGTGCATCTGTTATATAGGGTGCATCTGTTATATAGGGTGCATCTGTTATATAGGGTGCATCTGTTATATAGGGTGAATCTGTTATATAGGGTGCATCTGTTATATAGGGTGCATCTGTTATATAGGGTGCATCTGTTATATAGGGTGCATCTGTTATATAGGGTGCATCTGTTATATAGGGTGCATCTGTTATATAGGGTGCATCTGTTATATAGGGTGTATCTGTTATATAGGGTGTATCTGTTATATAGGGTGCATCTGTTATATAGGGTGCATCTGTTATATAGGGTGCATCTGTTATATAGGGTACATCTGTTATATAGGGTGCATCTGTTATATAGGGTGTATCTGTTATATAGGGTGTATCTGTTATATAGGGTGTATCTGTTATATAGGGTGTATCTGTTATATAGGGTGTATCTGTTATATAGGGTGTATCTGTTATATAGGGTGTATCTGTTATATAGGGTGTATCTGTTATATAGGGTGTATCTGTTATATAGGGTGTATCTGAAGAGATCACACATGGGAGTATTTTGTTTGTGTTGTTATATCCTGCCTTCCTATTTCTACTGAGTCTGTGGTCTACTGTTGTCATGCCTTGAACCCTGTACTTTGCAGACATCTTCCAACAACAGTGAGTATGAGCTAATTCGCAACCAACTAGAGGCAGAGCGCCACGCTCAGCATGAACTCTTGGCCACGCTAGAGGAGAGCGAGAAAGTGGTAAGTTCTGACAGCGAGGGATATATCAGCTAGGTGATGCTCAGCACATGGATGTGGACATCAGGCTGGTCGTGTCATGTTGAAACTAACGTGATATGTAGATATCTGTGGTATCTGTATACAGTCAGAAAGTACCAAATACTTCTAAGGAAGAGGGCCTAATATTAGGAAGAGGATCAAGTACTACAGTCATGTGTTATATAGGGTGTATCTGTTATATAGGGTGTATCTGTTATATAGGGTGTATCTGTTATATAGGGTGTATCTGTTATATAGGGTGTATCTGTTATATAGGGTGTATCTGTTATATAGGGTGTATCTGTTATATAGGGTGTATCTGTTATATAGGGTGTATCTGTTATATAGGGTGTATCTGTTATATAGGGTGTATCTGTTATATAGGGTGTATCCGTCATATAGGGTGTATCTGTTATATAGGGTGCATCTGTTATATAGGGTGCATCTGTTATATAGGGTGCATCTGTTATATAGGGTGCATCTGTTATATAGGGTGCATCTGTTATATAGGGTGCATCTGTTATATAGGGTGCATCTGTTATATAGGGTGCATCTGTTATATAGGGTGCATCTGTTATATAGGGTGTATCTGTTATATAGGGTGTATCTGTTATCTAGGGTGTATCTGTTATATAGGGTGTATCTGTTATATAGGGTGTATCTGTTATATAGGTTGTATCTGTCAAATAGGGTGTATCTGTGATATAGGGTGTATCTGTTATATAGGGTGTATCTGTTATATAGGGTGTATCTGTTATATAGGTTGTATCTGTCATATAGGGTGTATCTGTGATATAGGGTGTATCTGTTATATAGGGTGCATCTGTTATATAGGGTGCATCTGTTATATAGGGTGCATCTGTTATATAGGGTGTATCTGTTATATAGGGTGCATCTGTTATATAGGGTGTATCTGTTATATAGGTTGTATCTGTCATATAGGGTGTATCTTTACTTATAAAAGAGAGGCACCTGTGACGTGTGTCTGTGTGTGTGTGTGTGTGTGTGTGTGTCACGCTCCTTATAAAGAAGAGGCACCTGTGACGTGTGTTTTTGTGTCACGCTGAAGCGCTGCGGAGCAGCGCTGCCCTAGGCCCTGGCCTGAGCACGCGAAGGGTGCGAACAGTGTAGCACAGTGCAGCTAGCGGCCGCAGAAGCACTGAGCACGCGAAGCGTGCGAATCGTGTAGCTAGCGGAAGCAGCCACAGAAGCACTGAGCACGCGCGAAGCGTTCGAATCGTGTAGCCACCACCACGTGCTGAGCACGCGAAGCGTGCGAACAGTGTACATGGTGTAGGTACGTAGACCCGGGTGCTCGAATCAGAAACGATTTTACAGGTGTGCAATTTCTCATCTGTAAATCTCAACAATGTCAGAATATACTTTCGGAGAGGGGATGGAACAGGGAAGAGAGTCTGGCTTGACCCACCCAGCAGGAATTCAGAACATGGGTGCGCTACAACACAAGCTACAGACGCAGTAAAATTGTCGTATTTCCTTCGGATTTTTTATTTCTACGGTGGTAGCGCTTATACTTATACTATAGCAGACACGATCAGTACGAGTAGCAGTAGCAGCCGCGCGCAGAAGCACTGAGCACGCGAAGCGTGCGAATCATGTAGCCACCTAGCCTAGGCCATAGGTAGCACTAGCAGCCGCACAAGCGCTGCGGACCACGTGAACCGTTCTCTGCAAATAGAAACATCTCCAACAAAAGGATACAAAAGATCTGCACTGACTGCACTCTGCATCTGATCTGCAGTGAAGAGCGCATCGCACTTTTGTTCGTAAGTTTTTGAATTTTTTGAGCCGCTTCATCCGCCACCAGGTGATGGACAACCCTGACCAGCCTCCCGAAGGCGTAACAGACGTCCCTCCTTCTCCTTCCAACGATGAAGAACCTCCCTCACCAGGACTTCAGCGGTCTGGCCACCACCACGTGCTGAGCACGTGTGCTGTTCATGTACTTGCTTCACCCGCATGCCACATTCGGCCAGGCAACGCTGGCGGGGGTGCTGCTAGTCTGTTATATAGGGTGTATCTGTTATATAGGGTGCATCTGTTATATAGGGTGCATCTGTTATATAGGGTGCATCTGTTATATAGGGTGTATCTGTTATATAGGGTGTATCTGTTATATAGGGTGTATCTGTTATATAGGGTGTTATATCTGTTATATAGGGTGCATCTGTTATATAGGGTGCATCTGTTATATAGGGTGTATCTGTTATATAGGGTGTATCTGTTATATAGGGTGTATCTGTTATATAGGGTGTATCTGTTAGATAGGGTGCATCTGTTATATAGGTTGCATCTGTTATATAGGGTGTATCTGTTATATAGGGTGTATCTGTTATATAGGGTGTATCTGTTATATAGGGTGTATCTGTTATATAGGGTGTATCTGTTATATAGGGTGTATCTGTTATATAGGGTGTATCTGTTATATAGGGTGTATCTGTTATATAGGGTGTATCTGTAGCCAGTGCAGGCTGTCGTAATAAAACGACTCATCCGTGTTCCATTCCCGTGCATGGTACATGCATGGTGCAACGGCACAATGACAGCTGTCGCAAATCACACTGAGTATTACGCGTGTTTTTTGGTGATTCCTGGTTAGCTGCTAGCTTTTCCCTACTCGAAGATGTTGCCGCCGCGAAATCTGGGGGTTTGTGCTCGTCCTGGCGAAAACCGTGTTTTGATCCGTTGAGGGAGACGAGAGATACAGTGCGAAGACGTACGATCTGGCCGAGAATCGGCGAAGAAGAAAGCTTCGCAGACGACCCGTAGTGGTTGGGAACAGAATGGAACAAATACCAGTCGATGCCTGTCATGAAAGGGATGACTGCTACGAAGTTTTAGCCCCTTGCTCCCCAGCGCTTTTTAGCGCCCGACGATAATTACCAAATTTCATCGATTTTCCATATGGATCAAAGCATAGTCTCCTCAATCTTCTTCAGTCGAGCTGAGTCTGGACGCTACAATGTTGAGACGCGAAAAGAGAACATGCATGAACACACAGGAGCATCACATGCAGCTGCATTCTGCCTTGACGAAGCTGAGAACAACACCAGCACCACGCATTTGGAAGACATTTCGAAGAAGACGAAGAACTACATGTAGGAGTTGCATTTTGATATAAAGTATATTTTTCGCAGTAAAAGAGTATTTATTTGTAGAGCTTGTGTTGTTACAGATTCCTAGGTTCAAACCCCAAGATGGGCAGTTAGTTACATTTTTTCTCTCCTTTCGTATTTTGTATCTGCATGTTATTACCCTTTCCGTGAGTCGCTCGTGAGTAATGTATGAGTCGTGTATGGCTAAACCCGTATTTACCCGTATGACTGCTGCTAGTGTTATTGTTCTAGAACATTAGCATAATTAACCAATCACAGTTCACAGCTCTGGAATATTCTAGAATTTCGTCGGCAACCGGTTTATATAAATTACTGATTGGTTGATGACCTAAAAACATGGCACCGTTCGCCGTGTGTTTTGTCTTCTTGCATTGTTCTTTTCTTGTGCTCTTTTCACTTCTTATCTTTACTTGCCGAGTGTGCAACTAATAATTCTGTCCTAACGAGTATTCGTGAAACCACAAAGTGAGTGCTTTGTTTGAGTGTGTGAAATTGTCTCCGAGGGCTAGCTACTACATTGGTGGCAGCGGTGGGATTCGAATCCACGCCTCCGGAGAGACTGGAGCGTTCAAAAAAGCCTCTGTACTGTGCAGTATGCATGCGTGCATGCGCAAAGCACGGGGTCCGCGGATCAACTTCGTTCAATAATCATTGTGCCACACGGGTTGTATGATTTGTGTGCGATCATGGTCTTTCTTCTTGACAAACAAAAGTGAAGTTTTTCGATCTTCAAATCGCCATAGCGTCCTTGTCATGACTCCAAATCAGCTGAAACTTTGCAGGAGGAATGAAAATGCCATGCTGAATCGATTGGTACCATTTTCGAACGGTTTCCTTGAAAAATAAAATTTAGCCTGCACTGGCTAGTATCTGTTATATAGGGTGTATCTGTTACAGTCAACTTCGCTTATAACGACACTCGGCGGGGCATCAGAAAAGTGTCCTTATTCGCAAAGTGTCGTTATACCCGAAGTCTCATTTTATGTGTCACAGTTGGATGGGACTTTGCTCTGGGCATGAAAATTATGTCGTTATTCGCGAATTGTCGTTATATCCGCAGTAGTTATAAGCGAAGTTGACTGTATATAGGGTGTCTCTGTTATATAGGGTGTATCTGTTATATAGGGTGTATCTGTTATATAGGGTGTATCTGTTATATAGGGTGTATCTGAAGAGATCACACATGGGAGTATTTTGTTTGTGTTGTTATATCCTGCCTTCCTATTTCTACTGAGTCTGTGGTCTACTGTTGTCATGCCTTGAACCCTGTACTTTGCAGACATCTTCCAACAACAGTGAGTATGAGCTAATTCGCAACCAACTAGAGGCAGAGCGCCACGCTCAGCATGAACTCTTGGCCACGCTAGAGGAGAGCAAGAAAGTGGTAAGTTCTGACAGCGAGGGATATATCAGCTAGGTGATGCTCAGCACATGGATGTGGACATCAGGCTGGTCGTGTCATGTTGAAACTAACGTGATATGTAGATATCTGTGGTATCTGTATACATTCAGAAAGTGTTAAATACTTCTAAGGAAGAGGGCCTAATATTAGGAAGAGGATCAAGTATTACAGTCATGTGTTATATAGGGTGTATCTGTTATATAGGGTGTATCTGTTATATAGGGTGTATCTGTTATATAGGGTGTATCTGTAGGGTGTATCTGTTATAAACTATTCACAGCAGTGCCAAATTTTAGGCGTCACTGAATGCGGGTGCCAGCGGCCTACAAGCAAACCAAAAATGAAATCAATCCGACCACTGACATCACAGCTGGGTCATGTTATAGAGAGGTACGTTGAAAGTGACACGTGGGCACAAACGGGCAAAAAAGCGACGATTTCTCAGCTTTCTGCCCGTTAGAAGCTCATGAACTGAC